GAAAGAAAGAAAGAAAGAAAGAAAGAAAGAAAGAAAGAAAGAAAGAAAGAAAGAAAGAAAGAAAGAAAGAAAGAAAGAAAGAAAGACAAGCACAACTTTTGTACAATTGAATGGAAATGATAGCGAAATAGAAAAATAGAAATATTTCTCTATGTTGTTTTTATTTCTTTTCCCATAATTATTCAGACCTGAAAAATTATGAAAGTTAATCCTCTCCAGACTGTGTTATGTATTAATTTGACCATGTAATAACAGTCACAACAGGATTAATGAAATTGAAGAAAAATGTAATGGAGTAAAGAGATACCATTTCATGCCAATCATTGATGACTCAACCTGGTCTGAGACAGCAGCGTGGTAAATTTTGAAAGTCTGACGCATGAATCAACCCTGTCATTTAACTCATGAGCAATCTAAGGATTTTACCCACTTACTCTCTGTTCAGTAGACTCTGCTCAGTATGGGAGAGATCATCATTTGCTCTTGGTGCAGCCAGCTGTCGCTTTCTTGACTTTATTTTTAACCAAAGCCATTTGCGTCAGAGAGTTAAATGAAGAAAGAGTCATCCTTGTTATATTCCTGCAGCTGACCTTTACAGTTCCATATCATTAGGAATCCAGGCAGTAGGAGCAATTAAAAATTGAAATTTTTGGGTTGCAAAGATTTTTTTATCTCTCCCTCAAATACATTTAACACCATTTGGCACCAACTACTATGTCTCACTTGTTCAGTTTCTTAAATATATATACTATTTAAAACAAAAATAAAAGAAAGGGCAATATTAAAGATTTAAAACGTCAAGCAATATCTCTGATTTTTTAGACTTAGACTGATTTTATTTTGTCTTTTTGTACACACAACTGTAAACAAAAATAAATTTCGTTAAGTAAAGCTCTCTAGCCTCTTAACATCCACCACATTCATGGAAATTCTCACCTATTTTGCATACCCAAATGGAAAAGCAAATAACTTATGAATTGTAAGCCCAAATTACATGTGCAATACGTTATTTGAAAGTTATCAGCCCTAAATCGGGTGAGAAGAACACAGACCAAGCTGCATCAGTTCAAACATGACTCAAAGTAGTTTTTTTATTCTCTGAAATGATAGGTGTTTTTTGAACAGCAGTAATAAAGAAATTCTTGAAAAAAAGCCGTTTTCATTGTGTTATATTTGTTCTATATCATATCAACCACAAATGCAGAAAAGTTCAGACCTCTAGCTACAATAGTTCCAGAGCTGTGGGGTTTTGAACCTTTGGTGTCAGCTTGCAGCTGCGTGCAATGGCTCCACCTGCTGGTGTCTGTGTTTATCTCTAACGCAAGCCTGTAATGCGGTACCCCTTTAAATAAACTACACACATTCCGGCTCCTTCAAAACTTATTTCATTGGCTGCAAAGCCCAACAGCCCACGTGGTCTTAACCAATAACACCAGAGAACTATGATGCATAGTATTACGCGTCACTGGCTGACAGCAAGTAACGTAAGTGGACGAGAAGTGAAATTTTGGGGACTATATCTGGCTCAAAT